TATGTATAATAATACTCATGCCAACAACAAACAATGGGTAGCTGCTATAAATAGATTGAAATGAGATGGGACTGAAGAAATTGTGTTGGTTTTATACTTTTATTAATATTATGATATATCATTAAAAGGCACCGGCTTTTCTGGTGAGATCTGGAACGAGCGAGGAAGACTTGACTGATACACTTGATGCTCTGGCGTAGCTGTACCCACTTTTCTTGCCAGATTCTGTGAAATACGCTCCATTCAACATCAGGTCCCCCTCCGACATCCAGTGCCAATCCTTACCTTCTCCGTAAATTCTCTTTGTCACCTAATCCAAACATTCCGCAATTCAATTAATTTTTTTTTTTATTTTTTCCCATTTTCTCATATACACATTATCTTGGTAAATGGAATACACAAACAAATTATATTGGTTGATGCAAATAAATAATAAACCTCCTTGGCGTAAGGATTGTTAGATGCATTGAATCGATTTCCCTGGCTGAGGATGGTCGGGTTTGCACTCCCGCCTATGGCGTACATCTCCCAGTGAGTGTAGTCATTGTTCACAATATGAAAGTAGCCGTGCCTACACCTGCACAAACAAACAATCAAATGAAATGTCGGAAATTAATTAATCGATTAAAAAGAAAGAAGAAGAAGAAGAAGAATTCCAAAGTGTAAGATTTGTAAAATCGGGGCAAGAGGTGCGGTCCCACGCAGGTGAAGCACACCATAGGGGGTAAGCCTAATTGGGGCAATTGGTTTCATCTCAAAACCAATTGGTGATGGGAGGAATAGCATCACTAGACATATAAGCTAGACTCATTTTTCCTATAAAATCAATGTGGGACAACTCACAAGCGATATTCCCTACGTACCCACCTACCTTGGCATTCTCTGGATAAGGCCATGTCCGAAATGGTTGAAGACAATCGTGACCTGCATTATCTTATCGTAGGTATAACTGTCGCTGTGCCCCAAGAGCATCACCTCGTTGTGGTGGGAGAAGAAGCAGTTCGAGACGGTGATGGCCGTGGAGCCCATGATCGCGTCGATCAGCCCATCGGTGCACTCTCTCAGCGACACGTGATCAATCCATATGTGGGCCCCACCGAAGATGGAGATCCCGTCCCCGTCTGCCATGGTGCGCCACCCGTAGTGCTGCGGGGAGCTCCGCACCATAGCATTCCCCGTCGACTTGCAGTTACGAACACTGATGCTTTCGATAATGATGTGCGTCACGTACTGGATCGTGATGCAGGCGCCGTGGGCGATTTCGACTTTTGCCCCACGCCCGTCAATCGTCTTGTAGCTGTTCATGATCAGCTCCTCCTTCAGGGTGATCACCATGTCTCGTTCGAATATTATCCAGAGGGGCTCGGGTTGGATGACTGCGTGCCGTAGGGTGCCCAGCCGTGGGTTTACAGGGTCGTCGTTGTCTGGGTCCGTGACCACGTAGTACTTGCCGTCTCTGCCGCCAATGGCATTTTTACCGAAGCCGATGCCACAGTCTGCCAGCCGCTTGCGGTCGTTGTGCCAGATGCTGTCACCAGCAGCACAGCGCCAGCAGTCGTCGATCGGGTTGCCGGTCCTACAATCAGAGGTGCTGTCGAGTCTACGCCTCTCAGTGCTGTTCCTTATTTCCCTGTTGAAAATAATAATAATAAGAAGGAGGATTTTTGCTTTGCATTATATTTCTTATTGGTAATATCAAATTAATAAAATCTCGAATTGGATAAAATGCATCCTCACATTTGAACCATCCTTGCCACTTCTTCCGGGTTATCCACAGCATGTTTGCTCAAAGTGTTAAGGCCGTACTCCGACCTAATTAAGTAAACAAATAATACATACATGTTATTTATGGATCATCATCTGTTTAAGTTTTCGAAACACTAAACAGTTAACAGCAGCTACAGTTCGTCTGCCGTTTAATTT